TAGTGCACAATAATATTCATAGCGATACACATAATGAATAAATTGTTATTATCAAAATTATATCTTGGAGACATTATATCTAACATATGGTACAACATCCTAAACTCTACTACTTGCATTAGACACCATTAAGTACATCTTGCATTTTTAGGAGCACCACTCTGAAACACTCTTTAGCTGTTGTTTGACTGAATGAGTTGTATGCTTGCAGAAAAGCAACATAAGATTTTATGCAGAGTTAATTGTTTATGGACCCTCTGTGCTAGTTATTGTCTGTTAAGTTTGATATTGACGGATAGAACCTTGGGGAGTATCAGTCTCTATTCTTCTTTGTTGAATAGTGCCTTGCGTCCGACAAGGTTTGTAGTAGAAATAGAGTGGACGGTGAGGAAGGGAGGAGTTGATTATGATAGTAGAGGGCGTTTATTTACCAAAGATACTTAATGGCATCTGTTAATATCAAACTTAAAGGGTAATAGTTGACAGAAAGCGATAATACAAGGGGTCTATCCGCAATTAAGACTTTTATATATGATCAGAATTTAGGCTAACTCAAATCAAGAAGTTAGGTTATATCTCTAGATTGCCTTAGAAAGACATTTGTATAAATGATTTTTATAAAAAAGCCTCAATACTATTAATGAGCTCCTACAAACTATGCGGTTACTTATGATGTTTGGTAAGAATGAGTTATGAGTTAGTGACCGTCTTAAGCATTTTTGAGGCTCTAGGCAGGGAAAAATATTTAGGGCCTTAATAGTTTAAAAAAAATTAAATATTAGTTTTTAAAAAATAGATTTTATATAAAATTTAATTTTCTGGCTTTTTGAGATGCAAAGTTACTAATTAAATTTTTATATTCAAGCTTTGATAATAAATCCTTTTCAATTGATAAAATTGCCAAATCATTTAATCTTTCTTGAGACATTGCCAAATTATATTAGTTTTTCTCTTTTTTTACCATTACAATCTAATTAATTATAGAAATAAAATATAAAAAGTTAAACTTTATTAGTGTTCTTTTCCAAAGATAAAGATAATTATAGCAATAAATGATCAATTAAAGATAATTTAGAATCCTAACAATAGTCAACTTCTTATATTTCCAAAATAAATTAATAATTATATATATATATATCACACACACACACACAAGAGAGAGAGAGAGAGAAAGATGAGTAATAACTTATGTAAGCAATAAAACAATTTTCTTCATTCTAAATATCATACATATATTATCTTCAGTTGGTGTGCAATATAGCTTGCAGACACAAATCAGAGACTGAGACAAACTATTTTCCCTACCTTGCAAATAGGTTGTTGAGGATTTCTCATATTTACTAACAAATTCTCAATATTTTTTAGGGCCCCAATAAAATGAGGGCCCTAGGCATATGCCTTAGTGGCCTATGCCTTCAGCCGGCCCTAAGTTAGTCTTTACTATAAGCTAACTCTAGTTACCAAAGTCGTGTTGTTTTGCTATGCAATTTAATCTTCTCTGAAAGACCCTAGAGGGGGGTGATTAGGGTCTTATGCTAATCTAATCCGATTTAAATACCAATTAAAACTATTTAATAAATTGTTCTTGTAAGATAGATATACAATATGATATGAGCAAGAATAAACAATATAACTAAGTTGATATATCCTAGCAAAGAGATATACTATATGGTATATGCAAGGATGTATTTAAACTATCACAAGGGTGAAACAAACTAGTGGATAATATAAACAAGATGCAATAGGCTATAAGATGAACAGTTATAAGTGCGCCAATGCAATCACAAACAAACGATATGTTCACGAGGTTCGGTCCCCACGACCTACGTCCCCGCTCCTCACCTCGAGGAGATCTCTACTATCACGTCGGGTTTTCTACGCTTACCCGAAAAACGTTTACACCTCACAATACGGTTTTCTAGCTAACCGAAAACTTTACAATCCACACTCACAATGTAACTACACTAACTACCACCTCAAGTGTTGGTCCTCATGTATCGACTCCCTCAAGTGCTAGGAATTATCACCTCTCACTAGACCAGCGACGCCACTCCTCTCGGTATCGACTCCGTCCTCACCACACACTCCTCTTGGTGTACTAGTGTATTACAAAGTGATCTTCACAAATAGGCTCACAACAAATGATTTGTTCTCTAAACAAGATGAGAACTCAATTAAGCACAACTCAATGTTACAATACTCTCACAACCCTAATTATACTATGTATGTAAATACTAAAAGCTCAAGTGGGTGTGTGTAACAAAGAGATTTAATAAACAAAATCAAAGTAAACTCAATTATGAAAATCTAGCTTATAAATACGATAATCAATAAATAATGTAGATACAAAGCTAAAAATTGAGTTTAGAAAACTTCTCTATAGATAATAAGAGAGAGGGAGAAGAGTGAATGCTCAAACACCAAAGGATGATCTCCACTTGCTCTTGTGAAAGTCTCTTCACAAACAAAACTCTTAAACACTCTTTTAAACAAACTTTAAACCCCTTGTTAAACTTGTTTTTTTTAAAACATTCTCTTAGATACTTTGAGCTGATGATATGTGGGGGGTATTTATAGGAACCCCAAAGCCAAGAGAAAACAAGGCAAAAAGACCAAAAACCCAAAAACAATACAGTCTGAAAATATAGCCGTTATAGTGTTATGAGTCAAATCGTACTTTTCATGAGTCGACTCATAAGTAGCCGTTACAGGCTAAAAGTCAACTTATGGGTCGACTCATAAAATTCATGAGTCGACTCATCATGCATGGGTCGACTCATGAATTCATGGATCGACTCAGCAGAAACAAAACTAGTTTTCCAGCACACTTCATGAGTCGACTTATGACAGGCATGAGTCGACTCAACCTGATGGGTCGACTCATGATGTTATGAGTCGACTCGTCAGAACCAAAAAGTAAACTACACAACAGTTTATGAGTCGACTCAATACTGTTCATGAGTCGACTCATGACATGCACACAGCCTGATTTAAACAGTACATGTCAACATAAAACATGGTTTAAAAATATCAAATAAATTCAAAAAAATATAAAACTTTGGAAAATAATTATAGACATGATAATAAACATGCTACAGAAACTGGTTTTCAAAAAGGACTTCCCAAATGTAAAGTATCATCATTTTGTAAGGAGATCCAAAACATAGAATTGTAAACATATGAATTTTGTCATTTTGCCTAAACCATATTTTAAAACTTTACAAAATGATTTTATAGACTTGAAGAAAGATGTAAACTATTGTTATGAAGTCTGTAAACAATGAATGTAGTATTTTATCAAAATACACATATAATGCATTAAAACATGATTTCATTTAACTAAATAAAATTGATATTGATGAAATCATATATATGCATATAAGTATGAAACACAAATATATTTTCTAATTATATTAAATTGTTTCATATTAAAACTTGAAAACTATCAAACAAAAACATATATGTATATATATAACTATATATATACAAGACCAAAACGTGTATGTGTGTATATGATTGAGCTTAAAGTACTAACACACATAATATAAACTCCTAAACTAAATTACCCAAGCTAGATGAAGGTCTTCAATGAGCTCAACTTGGTACACTTGCGGATGAAGCTTGAACTTGGATCTTCAACTTGAATTAGCATAGCTTCAACCACTATTCCACCAACCTCCATTTGATATGATCGTTATGGCGCAATTCAACCATCCTCCAACTTATTGTTTGTCTAGAATAGATACAAAACACAAACACTAGACAAATAACATTAGATGTAAATTGTTTGTAAATCATCATCAAAACAAAAGGACCCAACATTCTCAACTATGGATTTTTACAATGGTGCCTTGTGCTAGAGGGCATTTATTTGCCAAGATACCTAATGATGTTTGTCAATATCAAACTTAAGGGGTAATAAGTGACACAAAGCGATAATACAAGGAGTCTATCCACAATTAGCCCTTGTATATATAATCAGAATTTAGGCCAACTCAATTCGAGAAGTTAGGTTATATCTCTAAATTGCCTTAGAAAGACATTTGTGTAAATGATTTTTATAAGAAAACTCAATACTATTAATGAGTTTTTACAAACTATGCGGTTACTTATGATTTTTGGTAAGAATGAGTTATGATTTTTATAAGCTAATTTCAGTTACCCAAAAGAGTCTTGCTGTTTTGCTATGCAATCAAATCTTCTCAACTATGGTTTTTTACAAAGCTAATTAACTACTAAATTAGGTTTTTGCACTCTCCTTCATAGTATAGTAAAAAAATTAGTTACAAAAAATTATAAGCTGGGGACTAGTTTACAAAGAGTTCAAAAGCAATTTGTATCCTAACTGACCTGGAGCCCAGTGACACATTTAGAGAACTATACATGTAGAGTCACAAACTACAATTTGCAAACTTTGCAACTGCTTATTAAGACTAATTGTAATTTACAAAAGATCAAACTGAAAAAGCGAGATAATGCATAGGTTGCCGATCATTAAAATGGAATGGACAATTAGGGGAGGAAAGGCAGATTTCTGCACAAACTTCTCACTGGCATTAACAAATCTCTGAAATTTCTGCACGTCAGCCTGATCCCAAATTTTGTAACGTAATAATAAGAAGAAGAAGAAGAAGAAAAAAGAAAAAGACAAATCTCTGATACTTGAGGGCTAAAAAACCAAAACTGATTACAAAAAGAATGGGATTTTGAACATCTTTATCCTCAGGTAAACCATTTACAATTACACATTCCCTCATTACAATTTTCATCTACAACCTGAATGAATGTATACATGTACTATACCTATACTAACAATAATTTTTAAAAAAATGTGTATACCTACTTATATTTATAGTAAAAACAAAGAAACAGAGCCGTGTTGCATCATCAACTCAAATCTCTAGAATACACAAGCACAATCCCTCTTCAAGGCTGCCGATGATACAATATTTACACGGCCAGAAGCTTATCATCCAAATTTGAGCTTCTCCTTGATCTTGTTCTTGAGCTTCTAATTTTAACCCAGAACAAAATAGTGAACCTGAAGCTTGATGTATTCTTTCTTTATGTGTCTTCTGCAAAAGCTTTGTACACGAAATCTTTGAAGCGTTTTGCGTATTGCCTCGGATCAACAGCTGATATTGAAGTTGCATCATATTGGATGGATTTGTATGCATGTTCGAGTTTTTTACTGATATCATAGTCTTGAAGTATGTCGATGATACCAAAGAATAAGACCACTTCATAAATTTCCCCCGTGGGGTCTCCAATAAGTTCACCCTCGTTTCTTCTTACTGTTAGCTCAACTCTAGCCGGCATGTTAATGCCTAATCTGAGCGTAGACCACCTGAATAACGCATATAAACATTAGGGGAAAAGGAAGAAATATT